GAAAGGCGAAATTCTAGGAATGGTGGTTCATATATTAGAGATTGATCCAGACTGGTAACAAAATCGGCACCAAAAGGAATAAAAAATGAATTAAAGGATTAGAATTCCTGAATCAAAGGAAAATTTGATTCAGACTTTTAGATCCAACATGAGGCGTGCACTTGTTCAAACAAAAATTCCACTTCTCATAAATTTTATCCAGGGACGATGGCTTTGCCCTGTCGCAAAATCAAGAACTGCCGCCACTCGTCGCTATCTTAAGTCACTGCAACAAGAAATAAATTGTACAATTTCACGAACCACTCCTCAGATTCTATAGTCTCTAATGGGCTATGATTGCAGGACGAAATTCGCAGCCTGTTGTTTTATTGCAAGTGCACTCAAACGAAAGGCAAAAAGTGAACGAATGTTAAAGTAATTGATTCGCTCTTGGGCACGATGGAAGTCTTGTTTCTGCCAAAGAGAATAATAAGAAAACTAATGTGGTTTTTGAGTAAACAGGCTTTCCTTTGAATAAATTTGAAGTCGTAATACTGTGTATGAAGAGTTGCTCTGCTGGAAAGAACTTGCAATGTTGTATCCGAGAAAAGGATTCATGGAAAAAATATTTGGTCTACATTAATAAAATTATGTAGCGGTTAAAAATTAACACAATAATAAGTAGCAATTTTCATGATAAATAAATTATATTATTCAGATAAAAATGTGGATATGGACAAATCCTTTAATTCCTAAAATTTTCATCTATAGGTATCAACACATCATGTCTGGAATGCAATTGGTTTAACTGAAAAAAGAGAAAATCAACAATCATATTCAAGTTACATTTAATTTTAAATTTTTTCGATTATTTATTGGCGTTACCTGGAAAGATGGAATAACTCCATAATAAATTCGAATTGCTTACCACCCCAAAGTTCACCGTACCTTATCGTATGCCTTGCCAACTGAAGACATCAAACGATGTCCGCAATTGATTCACTGTCCAAATAAATTGATTTTGTGCCGTTCATTACATGTAAATTTATTTATGCACCATCTTGCACTCAGTATAGTACACTATTCAAATATATAATACTCTCATTAATAAAATAGCAGCTTCAATTCAAAATCATTAGAGAGCTTTGCAAATAAATAATAATAATAATAATTCTTTGAATTACCTTCTTGCTACATTTACCACCTAAATTTTTTTGGCATGACATCATTTCATGTCTCAGAAAGAAATTAGGTTAAATTTTCATGAATTGCGAAAAATTATTAGTCATTCTATCAACGTGACGAAGATTAATCAAATCAAGTTCTAGCGATAACTATCGGATGATTTTGCTTCTCCAACTCAGGCCACACGAACTGTTGTTAATGGTTCTGCCACTAAGTTCTTGCCATTGTACATGGAGCCTTAGGAAATGTGGGGCACTATTTTATCAGACATGAACAATGACTTTTACAATCGATAATCAACAGTAAGCCATTAGATTATTTAAATCTCTTGAGCCTCAAGATTAGTTCAGTTATACGATAATTTAATTTAAAATTTCATTGGGTTTAGGATCTCACAAAGCATATATTACGACGCTCTCTCAGCTCTTCCATATTGCAGGTGACTTACATTCAAAATTCTGCTGTCAAGCAACCGAACAATTTTTCCTTGATGAAGATTTCATGACATCAAATTGGCCCAAGTTTTGAAGATTTGAGCTCTGCCTAGACTTTGATAGGAGAAATATCCGATGGAAATGCAAATCTGCAGTCTCATCTCATATTAAATATTCCGCGTCCTTTTGAGGACATTTTAAAAAATTCTGTTTCGCTGCAGCGAAGAAACGCAACAACAATACGAAGGAAAACGCTTACGATGGTGTTAACTTCGTCTGTAAAAAGTAAAAATAAAAAATTGAGCTTTTGAAACTTTTTGAATTGAATTGTTTCAATATTACTTCACTATTAGACCAGATAACGAATTGAGGCTTTTAATATACAATGCAAAGAGTGAAGTGTTTTCTGGGCGCCATTTTTGTCTGTGTTCGTCATGATTTTATCACACTCAATGTAAGGTATCAACATTAAAAATGTCGTTTTGTATGAAAAATTTTTTGCGCTTGTTCAATAGAATTTATCGATCCCACTACTGAGCAAGCAGAGGAGCGCTATCAAAGAATCTGGATGAGGGACGTCTGGATAAATGGCTAAAATAATCATCCCTTATACTGAGCGCAAATCTCAAATCTAAGCATACTTGATAAAATTTACATGCTCAGTTTTTCAAGCAAATTGTGGACACTTATGATAGTTACCCAAATAGTTACACTTCAACTATATTCTCTCAATACTAGTATTCCAACTAATGGGCTAAATTGATGGATCATTAATCTAATATACGCAATCCACAATTAAAATTAAAATTTATTTAAATTTAAATGATCTTTAATTTATTCCTAGTAAAAACCATATTTGTTTTCATCCACTCTAGTACGTTCGTAAAGTTTATCAGGCATTATGCAACGGTAAATTATGGTCGCAGGTTAAAATGCAAGGCATCCGCGAAGTTTCCCCAAATCGCCCTAGGCTCCACTAAGCCGTCGAAGTTCAATTCGCTTAGCAACAAAAACTTGTTATCAATAAACGATTTCCAGCCCTGAAGCTGTGCAATTCAAAGCTCATATCTTTATCATTTTTTAGCATCAAACCCTGAAGCGATCAACACGATCATATTTTGGTTAGCATTTTCATAGTTTTCTTTCCAAAACATGAAATAAAACGTTTCGTAAGCGACTTGGATTAAAAATAAAACCAAACCAATAATGGAAAAGCAAGGGCGGGGTTGTCAGTCGGAAACTTTTACAACGACGACAGCGGTTCTTAAAAGCCTGCAAGTAATCAGCTCGAGTGATGAAGCTCGCCTTGATCGCTCTACCTCAGACTTAATTAAAAACAAACTAATTTCTGCGCTGGAAGTGAGCAATTGGAATTAGAATATCGAAGTCAACACACCTATAAAAACTCCTTTATTGGAACCGATTTTCTGGCGGCAAAGCGAACTTTTCAGAGACATGTAAAATAATCTGGTAGTTTCTTCAACACCACGAGTTTATTGTAGAGTCGTAACAAGTAACTTGTTTGAGGCATTAAACGTTGCGGCCGAACTGAAAAAATATAAGAACAGATATCGTAAGGAATGGTTGAAATGTCACGTGAGTAAATATAGGCGAGATAAGGGCACGGGTGTAGGTTTGGCCGAGTGGCTACTGAATAATTGTTAAAAAACACTACACAATTGATTTGACGCCCACGTTTGAGTCTTGTTGGAACTTCTTATATTTGGAGATCATTATAAAAATTCCTTGGTAAGAAATGAATTTAAAATTTGAAGAGCAAAAATGTTTCTTACACTAGACGATTTTAAACTCTTGAATTTCTAAGTCTCTTTGTATACTACATGTCTACATCGAATAATGTGCCTGCGGTACATTTTGAAATGCTAGATCGTGCACGCAGCTTTTGGATAGATTGCGCAAAAATCCTGAAAAATGATCTTATAAAAAATTCACGCTAATTTGTTTGTCGTGTTGCTTTGTATAATGAGGCTAAAATGTTTTTTGGCAGTCGATATCTAATGAAGCAGATATCACAATAAATAATTCCTCAATGCAAATAAAAGAGCTGTTGATTTTTTAGATTATTTCACTCCAGCCTACAAGAAAAAGCAATTAGTTTATCTGTTTTTCCATCCTGGCATTTCTTAAATCCAAATTTTCTGAAAGTCAGTGATAATATGAGTGCATTTCCCTCATTTAAAACAAAAATTGGAAATTGTCTAGAAATGAATGCTATTTCATCGGAAACCAACATTCCCGACAAGTTGAAATACTGCACACGAAATAAACTGAATGCAAAATAATGCACAAGGAAATGGGCTAGCATGAAAAGCAGCATGGGTGAGGTGGACAAGTATTAGTTCGAAATATTGAAATTATCTACAAAATGGAAATAATGATACAAAAATTGAATGAATTTGAATTTAAATGCTACGATAATTGATGAATAAATTTAGCGTTCTGAGTCTATAACAGAAAATAAAATTATTATGAAAATTTTTCGAGCGGAGTTATGAATCACAGAAAAGTAAGTGAAAAGTGACTATTGAAAATTTTTAGTTAACAATGATAATAAGTGGGCTAAGAGTTTTAAAAAATTTCTACTTGTAACAAAAAATTATGTGGTAAAAAAATTAAAATTTGAATTGACGAATATTCGCAAAGATTATATTCTTTTTCAGCATTGAATTAATTGATTTGAAAAATTGTTTCAAACATTAATTGACATGAATGACAGTAAAAAAACGGCGCAGTCGTAAACTGAGTATTAAAATGTAACTCATATCCTAATTATTCCTTTCTACATGTATACTTTGATACAATTCAAAATTAGTCGTTTAGAAAAATTTTTAATATCTCGATGCTCGCTAAATATAGTACAAAAATTCGTTATTTTTGTTGATGGTCGGAAATTAATTTTATTGGTTTACTTGCGCCAAGATGAGTGATGTTCATGTATTCAAACCAGTACGTACTTCGTGAATGAATGAATAATTCGATTTTAGCGCATTTTCTCATTTATGGAACAAATGCACTATTATGCTCGCCATGTCCGTCTGTCTGTCTGTCCGTCCGTCTGTCCGTCCGTCCGTCCGTGACCTTAAGTTTTCGTCGACGAGAACATGCGCTCTCTGTCACCCACTGCTGTAAGTACTGAGTTATATTTTTTTATTTTAAAATTATTCCTAGCAGCATCACAAAAGTCTGAAAAAACTATCCCAATCAAAATAACTTATTTTGTTAATGTTTGCTTCTTCAGGCACTTCACTTAACTTCATAAACAAATTATATTTATTTATTGTTTCATTTGTGATCGCAATTCGGTAAATTTATCGCAAAATTTCGCATTGAATTTTAGTACAATTTTTCCTGCAAAATAAAAATCTGTTGCTAGGAGCTCACCTGACTAGCAGCGAGCGAAGACGCCGCTAGCAGCAGGACTAGGACGCTCATGGGACCCAGCCTTGCCATGGTCATTAGAGGTGATGAATGTAGAGGTCGTTACTGCTTATTGGCCTCTGTTAATTTGTTGATCACTCCCGAGACTCTTGTGAAAAACCTTAAATGGGTTTATTTTCCATTAAATATACCGTGGAATTCGTGTCTCCGTTAGTGTGATGCTGCAGAAGTGACACGATGTGTTGCAGTTGCGGTGGATGCGGCAATACTGACACACGAGGTTCGCGCTCCTCGGCTTTTATAGGCGGCGGTACGCATCAGGTGCGGCCCCAGTGCGTGGGGATGTCGCAGGATTCTCTCCCACTCAGTGTCCTCCCTCTCATCACATCCTTGCTATTACTGTCAATTAACACGTTAGGTCATAACCGTTAACCTTACCATTGTTCTGATTTAACCATGACATAAGTAGCACTAGCTAACGTCTTCGATTTTTAAAAAAGCTCTAAAACTATACGTTTCCGAAGAATTTTAGAACTCTTCAAGATCAATAGTTATTTTGAATTAAATGTTTTTGCAAGCCTTTAAGAAATTAAACTTAACCAGAAACGGATTAAAATATACATTTGAAGAATCATAGGCAACCTTGGGCAACCGATGGCAACCAAGTTTCGTTGCGAAGAAGCTTAATCTGGAAATTTATCTAACAATAAGTAAATTTTCTAAAATGAACATAACAGAAATATATAGACGCTACTTAAATACAATTAGGGAGTCTAATCTGCAATGATAGTTCAATTAATTAAAACGAAGACAATTTTACAAATTTAAACGAAACTAGCAAAAAAAAAAATACCTACAAACTAGTAATAGTGCGTTCCCTTGGGATGTGAAATAGAGAGTAACATTGAAAATTAAAATGTATGCTGTGCGACTTCCATGAAATGAGTATGGTCAGCAGCCTGTATAAAAGGATTATAGTCAGCCTTTATACATAATATATAATGTTTTAAAAAAGATAGTGCGGTGGAATAGAGTTGATGCCAATTGCTAGCGGGAAATTAGACATTGCATTGATTCTGGTAAGTTTAGCGGGGGGGGGAGGGATTCTGAGGAATAAAGAGACGGCATCCCTCCGTCGCTGACATACTGAGGGATTGAGGACATTTTTCTCCTCAAAAGAGGTTCTCAGTGGCGACTTTGCGACTTGATTGTTTCTCACTGCAAGGAACGAGGCTAACCTTAAAGCGTTAGAGAAATATGGATCTAATTTGTAGGCGAGGAGGCCCGAGAAGTTCTATGTTATTTTGCATTCGTGTTCATGCCGAGTTTAGTAGAGACGGATACATACCAACTATGATTAATGAAATTTATTAGCAAAATGGTACAGTTGAATTAAACGAAGACTATATATTGACTGTGCAAAGAACTAATTCACGTTGATATAAAAAAACTAACACTTGAAGTTTATAAATAATTAAATCATATATATATATATATAAATTATAAAAAAAATGTCATTTGGCTATACTTTTAGTCAGTTTCTTTCTTAATGATGATGATTTGTATTAAGCAAGCAAACTTAAGCAAAGCTGGTCAGTCAGAAAGACAACTTTCAGGTTGACACAAACCTTAAGGTAGAGGTGGAGACATCTAAAAAAATAATCGTTGAGATATCAGAGACCGGGAGCAAACGTTATTGAATGTTAAAAGTAAACTCTGCATATTTATGACTACAATCCAAATTTTTTTGCAAGGGACGAAAAAAGTCGCCACAAACACTACTAAAATTTTTATAAGGCTTCCAGATAATGTTCCGGCTTCCGATTTTCTATGTGTCTCTACTGCAGCACGCACACGCTGCGTGCGTTGCAACGACGTATTTAGTTGGCGCTAGTCAAGGTCGCAGCCAAGAGATGCGAGGGTAGCCAATAGATGCGACTGCAGCCAATAGATGCGAGGGCAAAGATGCGAGGGCAGCCAAGAGATGCGAGGGCAGCCAATAGATGCGAGGGCAGTTAATGAAGCCCGTGTGTGTGCGTCACGCGCATTGCGTGTCGCTGTCTTGTTGACAACGTGTCTCGTCTGATTAGAATCCTGTCAATAAAAGACATTGCTTCGGGCTATCGTTACCATCTCACGTAATTTATAAACTAATGAGGTAATGGAGAGGTGATACGAATAGTTATGCAGAATAAGAAGATGGTAAATATACAGTAAATATGTACGCAGGTGGAAGAAACTATCACCTTCTTCTTACTGCATGTGTAATTCGTAAAAAAAGTGCGGATCATTGATCCTTGAGGGACATGGTTAGCAAGTTATAGCCTGAGGCGTTGATCAACAATCTAAATGCAGATACCAGGTTAAAATGTTCTCCAATGCAACGAACACGGTCTGAACGTTATTTCCATATTAAAAGAAATTACAGAACGAAAAATATTCAACAAAATGTTAGACACCGAATTCGGCATTTATGTCACCGAAGCTCAAGAATGGATGAAAATTGTCACAATAGTGAGGAAAAATTCCGAAAGAAGTGTCTCGAAGTCAAATTACACTAATAGCTTATTATTCATGTTTCAGTGTACCTCGTCTCCCATTGCATAAATTGAATAATTAAAACCAATAAGTGGAATTTCGCATCAAAACCCTCCAGCTTAGTAACTGCGCTTTCTAGTTAAGCGAAGTCAACATCTTTGAAGATAATTTTATGTTACGGATGCCAGACATGAAGGTTATCTGAAGTCAGTAATTAGCTGTGCAGTTCATCTTCGGGTAGATACAATATTATTGACGATTGATTGATCGTCACCAGCGTGCACATTAAACAATCTTAAACTGAAATTGATTAACGAGAAAGCGTGCTAACGAACCTCTAAGGAGCGCCGGGCTCGACGTATGTTGATTTTGGACGGCGATCTGTACGTTAATTGAAGGCCACTTTCAACTAATCATCGTTCATAAATTATACAGCATGTCACATTTTATTACTTTTCTGCCAAATTGATTTCTAGTAGAATTTCCGAAAGTGCATGCTCAGGTTAATATACCAGGCTTTATTCATTGTTGTCTCTGTGCAGTAAAATGCGAGAGCCTTATAAAATTTTGTGTGCATATTAAGTATTTAAATGCAAGTTTTGACACTCGGTAGCACTCGTAGGTTCCCGATTGCGTAGCGTTACGGAAAAATTACGGAATATTGACGGAAAAATTACAATGCCTTACCCAATTAACGATTCCTTGTTTATTACGCAGAGCTAGCACAGGTGTTTTCATTTAAGACTTCTATGTTTTTGTGAAGGTCGAATTAGTGAAGAAATGTCAGCGGTTTAAAGCTGTTAACTGCGGTATCCTGGCGTTGGCATTGACGAGAGCAAAGCTTCGGGCGAGGCTCGCGTCAAGAGCTAAAATTCTTTTTAGTGGAAAATAACGAGCTTTTTCTTTTTTATATTAAAATGTTCTTTGGCCTATTATGTACGTGCTATCCGAACTAAGGCTGAAAATACTTCGAAGCTTTTTAAAAATGCAAATTTTTTAACGATGTAGATAAAATAAGTGTGGAGGAATGAAAATGTTTCTGAGCGAAGTTCGACTGTGGTTATTTTTTTATCGTTTGTTATCATCCAGTGGCGAAGCTCAATATATGCAGGGTGCGCCACAGAAACTTACTTATTTGAAAGGTCAATAAAAACAAATGTAATTCAGTTATTGTTTTAAATTTTTTTTATTCGAGAAAACAGTATCCGAAATTTTTTTTTCATACAGTTTTGAAAATTAAATCTCATAAATGACGGCCTCCATTGCGCATAAACTAATGAAGTCGCTTTTTTCATAATGGTTTCCACTCTATGCAGCATATCAATCGATATTTTGGCAATGACGTCGCGAATGTTGTTCTTGAGGTACTTCAGATGCACCCCCTCTCGCCCCTCTACCCGACCAACTAACCGCACAGGAATTTTTTCAAATAAGTAAGTTTCTGTGGCGCACCCTGTACTCTAGTGTACAAGCTAATTAACACGAGTATGAGAAACGGTGTCCCATCTCCTGTTGCATACAATATGAATTTATTGCATATTTGAAATTGTTTTGACATATTATTATATCGATAAAATTCCAGTTCGTGAAAAAATACTGAAAAATAAACGTAGAAAAACAAAATATCTTCACATTTTTTTGAAATCATTGCTATCCTCAGCATCTTGTATCACATTCCTTACAAATCAAATGAATAGACTGAATTATTTAATTCAGGCACCGGATTTGCAGTACCGGAAATTTACATAAAAGATTTCTTTGCTAACGTTCTCGTTCACTATCGCAGTAACTCGCCTGAGAGCCGAGTAAGGCTTAGCTTAATAAGGTGAGGCAGATACAATTTATAGCAGTCTTGTCTACTAGCGACGAGACGATATCGCACTGTCTCGTCTACTAGCGACGAGACGATATCGCACTGTCTTGTCTCTGTCTCTTATACACATCTAGATGTGTATAAGAGACAGGTCTTAGCTTAATAAGGTGAGGCAGATACAATTTATAGCAGTCTTGTCTACTAGCGACGAGACGATATCGCACTGTCTTGTCTACTAGCGACGAGACGATATCGCACTGTCTTGTCTACTCGCGACGAGACGATATCGCACTGTCTTGTCTACTCGCGACGATATCTCAATCTTTCCATGTCCCTTGCAATATGAAATGTGACTGAAAAGATTTTAGTATAAAAGTTATTAAGTCCTCAACAAAAATTAATTAAAGATGATATTTGACGCCAAGATAAAACAAATGATAATTATTAGTAGGTTTACTAGCGCTTCAGATGAATATTTCGCGATGGAGGTACGGTCTTCAGTTCGTCCTTAGCATCTCTTCGGTGGAAGCAAAGGGATTTGGGATTAATTTCTCCGCTCATGAAACGCGTGTCCGCTTCGGCTTCATCTCTTCTGTTAATGTAGCGTCTTTAATGTCAAGTAAAATTTGGTCTCGGTTCAAATTAAGTTTTCTGGTATATGGTCAAACGGCGGTGCCATCATAGAATCATGCTAGATCTCTGTTAGCAGGTTGCATAGTATAAAATATTGTATAAGATGAACGGTTCTTAATTGCTTCGTGGGTCCTCCCTCAGCATTCTGGCAAGCATCTTGTCTTGATGTAGGGTGGGTGTGTTTAGTTTACAGTTTTGTCATGTCACTGTAACTTTGACAGTCCGCTATGAAGTGCAGTACTGTCAGTGACACGAGTGTGTTTAGTTTACAGTTTTGTCATGTCACTGTAACTTTGACAGTCCGCTATGAAGTGCAGTACTGTCAGTGACACGCAGTGCTCAATCAGGTAGCTGCGGATGAGGCGAGGACTACCAATCTTCACAGCCCCTTTGCAATCCACAAAAATTGCAACAACCGCAGAACTTTGACCTTATAAAATAACTCACATGTAGAACCAAAGGTTCTCAATAGGCTAGTTGGTAAAAAGTTATACGGACACGATGAGGTCACATGAAGATTCGACGACGAGGTAAGTGGCAACCCAAGTGAACTGCGAAAGTTTAAAATTATCAAGGAATTAAAAGAAATCCGAAGTGATATTCCTATATTTGAAATTATTTTGAATTTCATCAATAAACTAGAATTACGTGTCAGCCTCAAACATGCATGGATGTACTGACAAATCAATTACAATAGATTCAACTCTACATTAACTTGTACGATTCACCGTCAGAATTATGTTTGTAATTCGAATTCTTCGTAACCTCTATGATTTGCTTGGCATGATGAGCGCTCAATTTCGTGAAGCAGCATGACGGCTACACGAGCCTCATTGGAGGTCAAGCGCAGAATCTTGTAATTTTTTCTTATCAATAGAACATAAAATTTTTTTTTCAAATCGATATCTAGGAGACAAACCATCAAGGTTCGGACTATACTATTATCAATAATGAAGTCCTACGATGCTTATTCACTAATTACCAGTAATTACAAGTTGATAACGACTAATGAAGGCTTATAACAATGCTTCTGAATAAGGAAAATAATGAATGAATTCGCCATGAATTGATCTATCTTCACCGTTGGATGAATTCAACACTCAACACTCGATCATAGTAAAAAAAATCTTATTCACGACTTCTTATAAGACGTCGTGAATTGACAAAAAAAAAAATAAATAAATAAAAATGAATGAACAAAATTTTATTAACAAAACAAAATCAAGAATAATGAAGCTCACTCTATTGGCAGTGTAAATGAAATAGCTTTCAAAGCAATGGGGCAGATAATTTCTGTTGTCGCATAAAAAAGTGGATATAAATTATTGCTGCTGTTTACAATACACAAAGATAAATGGAAAAATCTGGGTGATAAAACAAACCTGCCTTTTCGTTAATGAGCTATCACTTGCTTTCGACGTGAGGCGTACGTTGAGATCACCAAACCTAAAACTAAATGTCATTAATTGACTTTAATTAAGTTAATGCTTGACACAAGACTACGTCAGTTTAGAACATCATGCAGGTCCTTAGAATACCACACAGATTACATACAAACAATAAAAATACATTCAGACGAATCAACGAACCAACGTCAAAACTAATCCAAAATTGAATTTATATTTGCATGCAGGGATAATTGTTCATCAATTGTGAGCAAATCTTATTTTGTAGGAAATTAAATTAACATCAAGTATTTCGCATGCAGGGATGTCAAAAATCTATCATCCTGATTCTGGCACAAATTAGAAGACATTCTTCTCGAAACTGCAAGCCACCACTGTCAAAAATTATAAAAGGCACTAGGTTGTACGTAAGGATTAGGTTGGCAACTCTTTGTTGTTCGTAAGGGATTAGGTTGATCAGCTCTTTGTTGTTCGTAAGGGAATTAGGTTGATCAACTCTTTGTTGTTCGTAAAGTATTAGGTTGATCAGCTCTTTGTTGTTCTTAAGGGATTAGGTTGATCAACTCTTTTGCTTGAGCGTGGCATTTAATTGGTCGACGATGACATTGATGTCCTTGTTCTTGTTGAGTTTGAGGAAGACGCCGGAGCTGAGCTTGTGCTTGCTCACCCACTCAGGAACTTCCTTCAGCAGAGCCTCCAAGTGCTCCTCAACTTCGCCTGAAAATACAGAGCTTTGTAGAAGCATCTTTTCAGAAATATTTAATGCCTATTAGCATCAGTCATTAAACATTCATTAAACTTAAAAAAGCAAGAATCAATATTTCTAGAAAAAAATTAGCTTTGGCTAACCTGGCTGGTTTAGTGTATACCACTAGTTTTCAAATTTTATCTTAACAACATTAACGAAGAATAGTCTTGTACATTGTCATACAATAATGATCAATAGTAGGATCTTAGAACACTGTCAATAAGTGGTTGCAAACCGCAGGCCTGTCTGGAGCATGCTGCAACACCACGTACTTTAAACACAATAAAGTTGGCAAAATTCAAAACTGCCTTGATTTAATTTGATCAAGAAGAGCAAATGTCTGGCAAATGTTAACTAAAATGATATAATTTTACAAACTGGTAAGACGCGTTAGAAAACACGCTTACGTTTCCAATGAGCATATAAACTGACCAACAGTGAGCATGCCAGAATGGCTCTCCCTGAGTCTGGCTATAGCATCCTGCCAGTGCAGGGCAGCCTTCTTCTCTGCGACGAGCGTGTGCCGCAGGATACGCGCGAGCTCCGGTAAGCGACTCAGCACCTCGAGGTAGCGAGTGTCTCCCGCGCTGCGCACCATCGCACGCGTCGCCGCCGCCGCCTCACGTGCGCGGATCTGCGTATAAATTCAGTGTTGCATCATCGTTTCAACAAACAGAATTTGGATAAAAATCACCGTTAAAAATAATCTGTATTAAATCACCGTTTAAACTATATACCTGAAGTTCAACCCTGCAGCTGATTGAAATACTGCCAAGAAATAAAAATAGAATTGAGTTTATAATTAAGCCATGCACTAGAACACTTCATAAATTATCAATACTAATTTTTATTAATGTTTGAAATTTCCCGTTCAAACTGTCATACTAAAAGTCCCATTAATAAAAAATAACGTGAGATTTATGTACCTTCTCCAGAAGAGAAACCGAGATTCCTCTCAGCGCCAGAGCTACGTCTTTGTTCTGAGTGGGCGTCCCTTGGGGTTTCTGTTGCTTCCCCAGGTCAGGGTTAACAGCGGGCAGGCTTGCTTTAGACTCATTGACAGGAGTGGCTGAACTTGCAGGAGCAGATGCGGATGAGAGTTTCTCGGCAGCGCGCTCGACAGCGGCCTCAAGCCGAGGGTTCTTGCTGAACAGGTCCCGGGCAACACCTGGGGACGCATGGAACGAATGGTCCACAAATAAAACATAACTATATTTACAATCTGTATATTCAAAGCAAAGTTAAAGGTACATAACGAGTGGGAAAATAGTCAACAAACAACCCGTATCACTTGAAAGCACCAGAAAGGGGTACCAACCAAGGACGTGAGTGGCGTTGGAGAGCACCTGGGTGGTTGGAGGCTGGGGGAGGGGGGCAGGTTTTATGTCAGGCACGTCCTCTAAAGAGAACTGAGGGTGCCAGCGCCGTATGCTGCTCACGTCTGTCACTTCGACGCTTGGTTCAAGGCTCTGAAAATGATACAAGCACTCAATGATGATGGAAAATCAATATTAATATACAATAACATTCATATATTGATTAATAAATTACTTAAAAAAACTTAAAAAAAACACGTTTTTCCAGTGGACTAAAAAATAGAAAATAAATTATGGCTCGCCCCAAAAAACGTGGGTCGGGCTGTACATTCACCATCAAATTTTCGCAAAATTCGTGTGTTGTGTGCTTTTCGCTTTAATCATAAATCTGCCCGACACACGTTTTTTGGGGCGAGTCATAATTTATTTTCTACTTTTTAGTCCACAAGAAAAACGTATTTTTTTTTAAAGTTTTTTCAAGTAATTTTTATGATCGTATCTGAAATTGTTAGGCGAAAATAGCCTGTATGCCGAATTTCAGATCTCTAGAGCAATCAGAAGTGGGCTAATTTTCGTTGTCAATGTTAACAACAAACAAACAAACAAACAAACAAACAAACGCGAAGCTAAGCTAAGAAAAACGTGTTAAAAATCTAACCTGGAAGCAAAAATGACAAGCAAAAATAGACTGCTTGAACCAAGTTTAACATAAATACGACAACAAAACAGATATTACGAGCAAAATTTGTTATTCAACTTTGAATTTAAAAACAAAAACGACAGTGGCAACATAAAAATAACAAAGAATTGGCAGCCCTCAAAAGTTGAGATGAAAAGTATGATTTCGCGAAAAATTATGGGCAAAAAAAATGACAACACAGACACCAGCGCAAAAATTCAACATTAATGATTGCTGTCCAACTCAGCGCTCACCTTGAGAAACTCGACGTGATGACGATGCACGATCTTGATGAGCGCCTCATGGAAGAACGCACGGCGCTCCACCAGCACCAAAGAATCCATTTTCCGAAACTGCCGCGAAATTGGTCATTAACGTTATTATTGTTATTAAATTGGTGCTCAGGCACCAATTTAATAGGCTTAGTTTCTCGCAGCCTTCGGAGTCTCAGAGAATGTGCAGCAAAATTAGTTACTGGGTTAGAATGCTACTGTGTCTTGAACGACTATGTTTTTTGAATGAACATGAAATTTTAAACATGGTATAAGGTTAGCCCAGCGCTGGCCGGGCGTGATAATTCCTGAGAATTTTTAATCATGTTATCCCAAACCTCGTCATTGTGTAACCCCTAATCGAGTAATAATATTACCTAAAAATAAGATAATATAATATCATTAGGGCATTCAACCAAAAGTCATCCAGCAAGAAGAGCTATCAGTTTAATAAAGCTGGAAAGATGAACATATAGGGCGCTCAGCCAATATGTTTTCTTGAAGATAAGAAATGATAACCAGGGAAGACAATTAAACAAGAATTTGTTTAAGAATTGAAATGAAACAAAAACTGAATCAATTCAAGAACTAAAATAATTTAGTAACTATTTTTCTGATTTTCTTGCATTCTATCCAACTGAAATAAAACTCGCTGCAAAAGTCGATTGATTCGCCACTTGAGGCTTTTTGGAATGCAGCTCCCAAAATTCTGATAAATGCTTGTTCATATCGTATATATAATATTAAAAAATCTTACAATGTGAAACGTCTTATCAGATACGTTATTTGTCTCAACTGACTGTGGGATCCTTGCCATTTGTTCCAGAGTTGCTCAGAGGCTCTTCTTTGAACAAGCTGCGGCTGCTGCTGCTTGCAGGCGAGTCAAACCTGGCAAAATTAGAAAAAACTTATTTTTTTTTTACAAAATCAAACGTGTACTAACAAGTTAACTGGAAAATGTTCAAAAGCATCATTAAAACCAGTATGGCTATTATAGTAGAAGTAATTGATGTTGACTCCATCGCATATGGCTTTTTACATACTGGTCAAACGAAACATAACACCTACAGAATTCTGAACTAATAAAGCAATTTTACAGCATATTCGATTGAATGGTCAGGAAGAACCTAAAATAATTTTTTGACAACAAGCTGAAAAAAAAAGAAATTATGTCCACAAATTTTAGTTAAATTCATGTATTATAGAAATTTGCGAGATTTATTCTGAAATGTCAGTGCAATAATTGAATGATATTTACTTGGTCATGAGGTTCATGCGGGCAACAGGAGGATCCTGATTTTGTGATGTGACAGCAGAATTGGAATTGTGTTGATTTTTGTAGTCGAGGTTAGCCGTGATTGTGAGCTGGTATCCAGAGTTGTTTTCCTGGGTGATGCTTGGTCCGGGCCGCACTTTGTCTTGCCTGAATATGTATGCAAGAGGGAACACTCGAGACACTTGGCCTAGGTTGCGCTCCTGGAATGTCCTGAAGAAACATACAGAAATTATTCGTAGGACCGTCTCAAAGAGGATGTTTAAAATGAGAAATTAAACAAGATTTGTAATTTATGAACTCCAAATTTGCGACAAATGCAAAATATGAACTCCAAATGACAAATGCAGCCAGCAGTAAAAACACAGCTCAGTTCCATCAACGATCGCAGGTACTAACCAGCGAGGTTTCATTCTTGTTAGAAAACTGTGAACCATATTACTGACCTCCTAATCATTTGCTGCACTGCAGGCTTGAGTTTACTGAAAGTGATGACCTCGTGCCTGTTATGCATGAGTGACACGACTGTGTCAACAGCGCGGAACATCTCGCGCAGCAGTCTGTAGTGGTACGGCAGGCCAAGCTCCGAGCTGCAATTGGGAACCAAATAGTTTAAACGACTTTCAAAATGAAACAAAAAACCTAAAAAACAAAATCATGTAGCAGGTCAAGCTTCAAACAGCAGATTAGACTTACTTGTGCAACCTTAAATCATTGGTGTTAAGAATATAATCTATAGATTTACCTGGGCGAAGTGGTGGCAGTGGGAGCAGCAGCAGGCGACTGCACAAGATGGTGGAAGCGTTCATAGGCCGGGACCGCTCCCAGCTCTTTGCCGGGACTCTTGCAAGGTGTCTTCACTGGGCTGCAGCAAATATCTTTTACTATCAAGCCACTAAAAACGTCATAATTTTAATACCGTGTCCTAGTATACTATGACAAACTGGTATATTGGTAGTACATGTTCGACTGAAGTAAATTCATGTAATGTAAAGTAATTAATAAAACGAGACGAATATGCAGCAATTATATAGAAGTGCTATTGTGACTCTTGCAGCTGAGAATTAGCTGCATTTAGCCTCATCAGGGGTTGTTTCTGAACACAATTGGCCTAGTTATATTTCGTAGTTCTCCTGGAGTTTCGAGTACTGCAAAACTGAATTCGTGCAATAAACAGTGCATAAATACCTAGACCAACATTTTGCAAACCAACGCTAACACCAAGACATAATGAAAGTTCAGAAATGTATATTAATATTGAAGAAAGTGGTTAATAATACTAATGGATAACATGGAAAAATTGCAGCTGGAAAGGAATTGAATAAGTTTTCATTTAATTAAGATAGAATAACCTTTAAGTTAATGTAGGGAAAGGGACAAAATTGCACTCTAAACTTCATGGCATAGTCATGAAAATAATCTGAAAGAATAATTGTGTAGAGAGCAACTGACCTGAGAGGAACCTCGACCTCCAGGGCTGATGAGAAGTGCTCAAGTAGAGGATTGACAGGCCGACGTCGGGGGGAAGGTGCCGCCTTGTAGGGCAACGCGAGCTCCTTGTGCGGTGAGAAGAGCTTCCTCGGTGACGCCATCTTCAGGGGAGACCCTACAAAATTTCATTCAAATGATGTATGAAGGCACACACTATATTAACTCCCCATCTCAGTTTTACCAAAATTATCGTCGAATTAGAGACAAACTTTTAGCTCAATTTGATACCTCTAGTAAATGAATTGGTTTTTCTTAGAGGTTCAATGTACATATAGGATATGACCAACGACTCCAGTTAATGAGTAGGTACACAGTACATATGCAATGCATTACCTAAAATTTTAATGGAAAATTTACAATATTCAAGTTAGCTATGATACAGAATTTAGCAATAACCAATAAGAACAATTCCTGGCCTAATTATCTATCAATGAAATTGCTCATCCATGTTCAAATACTGATGAACAAGATTTGTTTATATGTACTTCATAATAAAATATGAGTAAATATGATAGAGTTTATATTTGCAAAGTAGGCAAGAATTTTACAAACCTGTTTTGCTTGGTGAAGAAGGCAATCCCTTTTGCTTGGCAATCAAGGCAGCAGCCTGCTGCGCCTCCAGCTGGGCCGGCTCTATGACGCCGCTACGGAACTGTTCTAGTTGGCGCTCACACTGTCGGACCTTCAGTAACTGTGCCCGTAACTCGGAGAGTTTCTTGCACTTGCTTAGATGAAGGTTATTGCCAGTGGCAGGCCCCTGAGGGGCAACAAAATATTTTCAGAACTAATATTATTAAGAGGCGCAATTTCAAATCATTTTAAAAACTGGTTTCAGTTGGGTATTTAGACCTTGCCAATTGATACTTATTTTAAAACCTTTCTTAATGGATTGGAAAGTTTACCAGTAAATTATAAAAAGGCAAATCTGATATAGGTATTCCATCACTCTTCTGATTATATTTTCGTCTTGATTATATTTGACTTGAATCTTAACCAACAAGAGCAACATTTTAGTGCCGAGATGCGCACAAACAAATACTCGAAACTTAATGACAGATTTACTATTTATTCAATCACATGAGAAACTATCTTATAACCCAAAGCAGATATGCTCACATTTTCCTTGATAGAAGCTTCTTTGGTTTCTTCCATTACCAACTTCTTGCGTGCAGAGCCTCGAGTAGTACATGTAGGCATGGGATCAGATTTGCTGGTCTCTGGAGTGACCACATCACTTGCCACAAAGTCAGGCTTGTGTCTCTTGCGCTGCTGCCATTCAGAAGCCTCCACATTAACCTGAACACAAAATAACAATGAACAAACTACAGAACGCGAGTTTCATAGAGTTCCCATTCATAAAATTATGAACCACAATGTCTTGTATCTATTTAGGAAGTTTCAAGCCTTAAATTTGGATATTAATTGAATGCACAACACAATGAAAAATTGAATGCTTGATAAAAAGACTTGAAATGAAGTGTGTTGTTCTGATAAAGAAATTTCTCCATAAATCTATGTTTTAGGTCAGTAATTTCAACCAAATGAAGATAAAAAAATAACTATGAACCATGAAAACACACAAGCCAATAGCAATAAACATGGCAAAATATTAGCATTAAACAACTCAATACAATACATTTGCCCTAAAAACCACAATGAAGGAACATGAACTCTACCTCAGTTCAATACCTAACTCTGGCATCCACTGTTAAGAACTGTTAGCAAACCTGCTAGTTCATTTTGAAAAAAGTTTTGTGGTTACAGAATGTGAATCAAGTCTCTAGGAATTCATCCAGGTCCAAGATCAGGACATTTTTAAAGACATGCTTTAACTGGACATAAAGGATCAAAGATAATATTCCAATTATAATGCAATTGCTGCAATGAGATACCTACTAATGAAGTCGCATCTGAAGTAAAAAAAAAAGTGCAGACAGGTGAATATACAGGGCAATATCTATGATGGAAATTGGAGAACCTTTCAGTTGTGTACATAATGTATATAAAAAAGGGTTAATGAAGGTTTTCACAATTCAGAATTATTCTTAGCCTATGATTTCATATACACAATGATTTTGTAGCAGTTCTTGGGTGCTTGAATTTCTACAAGTAAATGTTACCAATGTTTCCTACTATCACGTCCTCAATGCTATTGAGTAAATAACTTTTCAGTGGATAAACACTTAGCTATGTACCTGTTTTGTAGGAGTTTGAATGTTGTCTTCATTCTCAGCTGCAGGAGAGAGTTCTGCAGAAATGACTTCATTCCCATCTTCATCAGAAGTTCTGAGCCTCTTGCTTGTACAAGTACCACTAGTAACCTGGAATAAGAATTATTAACATTGAAATTGATATTTCAAGCATTTCTTCTGCGATAATCATAAGAGTGCAGAACAGAACAGTCAAACAAGACTGCATACTAGGCAAAAATCAGAAATAACTTGCTTCTCAAACACAACCCATCTAGGTGGTGAATAAAAAATAGATAATCCCATGAAAAATTTAACTGAATTCATTTATTTCTTAGCCTCTACACCATGAATTTCTGGCACTTTCTTAATGAAGAAAAGTCATGATTGTTTACTTTGGCCATGCTGTACTACAAGATTGGAGACATGCTAAACTTTTTAGTAACTACTTTGGTAACACATGGGTTTAGAATGGGTGTTTGACTTCCAAATTTAGTAGAGAATTTCAAGGCAAAAGCATATAGCTAAAATATCACTGTATATATAGGTCAGTGATGTCATTTTTCACATGATGTGGAGCCATGATAAGCAAGAAGGCAAAATTAAAGGAAGACTGGGAAATGCTGGCTCATGATTGCAAGGTAACAATATTTATACCATTTGTCCCTGGATATTTCCTCATTAATATCTTCCTTGATGAAAAATAATCTCCTTCACTTCGATATGTTCATAAACATTTCCTTTTGTTTGCCTTCCCTGTTTATTAAGTCACGCCCTTGGTGACGTCAGATAGCGAAGCTATAAAAGCTCTGTCTCAAGCGATTAACTTCAGTCTTGGGCGAGGACCACTATGGTATACCCCATTGCTCCTGTCCATGTCAAACAGGACAGTAACACTAGCTAAACGTCTGAGACTCTGAGTGGAGAACGCCCCGCAGATACACTCTAGACTCATTCATTTATTTACTTCAACTGGACGCCGAAGACATCATTGTTAAAGCTCCAACTTATAAACTTAGATTATCCTAAACTGTGAGCCAAACTATAATCCTACAAGTATATTATATAATCGTTTACGCTGTTCCTCTATATCCTCGGATCCCGCTACAGAAGAACCACCCTCAGGTCATACTAATTACCATTCATATAAGAGATACATAGAAAACAACCTGTTACATAATGGAACTGTACCTGCAAACATATCATTCATGAAGAACTTTCAGTTTTGAGCTTCATGGCAAAGCACAGGTGGAAGCTCAAATTACAAAATCAAGTATATATACACACATTCAACTCAAATTTTTGCATATGCAGGTAAACTTTAATTATTTGAATTTCACCATCATGGTTTTTTAGGACTAAGATTCCATAAAAGTGGAGATTTTATCCAAACTAAATTTTATCCAATAAATAAATAAAAAACATGATTTATAAACAATGCAACAAAAAGATATTCTGCTACATTTATATACATACTATGTATATAATGATCATCAATTGCTCAAGAAAGCAATAGGGATAGCACAACTTTAGAATAGAACAGATATTAGCATCTTTACTCACCATTTGCTGCTCTGACTTATTTTGAGCAGCTTTCTGCAAGACATCTTCTAAACTTGAATTGGGTTTCAAATTGGTTTTAGTTCGAACAATAGTTTTACTTTTTCTGGAAAGTTTAGGTTTCTGAGTTTCAGGGAGTGTAATCACAGCCACATCTGACACTATAGATTTTTGTCCATTTATGGGTATGATTGAAGAACCCAATTTAGAATTCTCTAACAATTTTTTGTTTGTAACACCATTTTCTATTCCTATCTTTGATTTTAGCTGGCTTTGAGAGGTACGTTTAGATTTGAAGTAATCATTGAGCGTTGGTTGTGTTGAAGCCATCTCAAAGCTTAAACTATTTGAACAGATTAAGTATCAATGAACTCCAGTGACTGGGGAAAGCTTTCATCAATGAGCATGTGGGTGTACAACCTGAAAAAAAGTGAATAAATGTAGCAGGTACCTATATACAAGTTGGAATGGGCATCTCTAAAAAACTTAAACACACTAAGAATAGGAGACAGGCCTACGGCTTAATAGAACCGCTATGCTATTATATGAAACAACAAGCAATACTGCGTTGTTCTTTGTGTAGACAAGGTCGTTTTAAATGCACAATGGCATGTCCATGGATATGGTAAATTGGTTATATCACATTAATAATACAATAATGTATGGATCTGGTAATATCATATCAATAAAGGAAAATTAAGTAAAAATCACAAAAAATGTCATTTATTCTACATCTACATACATCATCTACAAAGGAAAAGACGGACCTCACATTAGAGTAGCTAGGTTAGGTTAGGTTGCCTACTGTTAGTGAGTGTTGGTAATGGATGACCCAGGAATCCAGGATCATAGGATGAGTACACTTTGCAATTCGCATGCTTCAAATGTTTTACAATCAAGTTCTATTTCAAGTGTTCTGGATTAGCCCGTTCCCACTCACTTCCACTTCAACTCCCCAAACTTGTTTATGAAATGTTTCATGGTAAGAAGTTATTAACAAAGCACACTCAAATGGCCTCAAAATTGTCCCTTATTTAGTTATTACCCTGTTTCATTTGCTGCAATTGATGGTTCTAAAGCTTGTTTGCAATGTATTCAAGCTTTCTAACAAGTCCAAGCACAGGCTTTATTGTTGAAAATTTTCAAGATCAGTAATAATATCACTCGTTTGCTTGAATTGCAAATTCACTAAAAACTTAAAAGCAAAGAAAACTCCACAAAAATTCATAGTATCTTTAAAGAAAACGTTTTGGAGTCCAGCTCCATCGTCAGTTTGAAAATTCTAGAACACAGATAAATCAGTGATTAGTACAGTCAAGAATACAACGAAAAATCTAAGCTGTAAAACCTACCTATTGACAATTTCAAGCGGGTAAGAACTAAAAGCTAAATTCAAACTAGGCCTCTGTTTAAAAATGTTCAATAATTCTAAAATGCGCAAATCAGAAACACCGGAACTGGAAGCTAAAACTTTGAAGTCACTGTCAGAAACTGGAACATCGCACTGCTCGGCATGAACCCGCACAGCCAAATGAGGGGGGCGCAACAGTAGGTTACCAGTTCTACCTTTCAGGTAGCATAAAATGGGGTAACTTTAGAGTCTTAGACCACTTTCTTTTTATAAATGATGCCATTTTTTTACTAGCTAAATTAAACTTGAATTGAAACATGCAAAATACAGGTCTATACTCTAGCTTCACTCACCATAAATTGCTGGCTCCTGCCTCTCATAGTCTTCATGTAATTTCAAAAAAAGTGATGGTCTTTGTTACCCCAGCTCTTGGGGTAACTTAGACCAGGTGATAAAATCAATTATACTTTTTGGTAAAATAACTCCAAATAACTCCAGATTTTGGTGCATTGTAGTAGAACTCTTCTAGTTACATATGCAAATGACAAATTTGAGGAAAGAGTCATAGTTTGCAAATGGGGGGCGCCACCCCATAATGAGGGAAATGTGACTACCTAATGGCAGCCCTGATAGGGCAATATTGACTGGCTTGGAAATTAAGTTGAAATTACCATATATAAGACTCTGTAGAGTCTGAAACATAAAGAAAAAACATAAATAGGTTGTCAAACATAAAATATGTTATATATGGCAATTTTATATTAACTTCCAAGCTGGTCTATGTTACCCCGTCAGGGCTGACATTAGGTGGTCTAAGTTACCCCATTTGGGGGCAGCACCCCCATTTGCAAACTATGACACTTTCCTAAAATTTGTCATTTGCCTATGTAACTAGAAGAGTTCTACTACAATGCATCAAAACCTGGAGTTATTTAACCAAAAAATAAAAAAATTGGAGGGGGTGCTCTGACAGGCTTTAAATAATAGCTTTTTTTCATGGGTCACATTTTTAATTTTTTAACCTATTAGACATGCAAACTTTTCAAATCTTTCTATTGTGTTATGTAGCCTCAGTATTAGGCCTTTAATGCTCATTGACAAAATTTTTCTATGTCAAATAGTTTTTGAGTTGTGGGGGTATTTGTTCAAAAAAACAAAAAGTGGTCTAAGTCATAGTGGCAAACCAGAGATTTTTTAGAATTAGTTCATTTCTAACATCCTCATTTACTCAATATTTGAACCAATTTCTTATGTATGATAATGCTGGTATCCATGGTGCCAATCCATAGGTTATTCAAAAGAACCTGTTCTTATGTCATTTTGAACCGATCAACACTTCTTTATGGACCGATCGTATAACACACCTTCACCGGCAAAAGCTTTCACACTTCTGAGCAAGCTGACAGCTACAGCTACACTGGCCGTGGGGTGTGGGTGGACCTAATTTGAATTTGAATGCATGCAGCGATTCAAAATCCTATAGACTGTGATAGACATAGTATACAAATCATAGAGCCTAAATTTTTAATATCTATAAAAAAAATGTACGTTTCTGCATGTATTATAATGCTGTTAACATTAGCAAACTTTTAATTATCTCTGATGCAAGAAATACTTGCTTAAATCATTTTATTTTCAATATAAGCGACTGGATGCAACAATCGGTTTGCAAGAAACGACATAGCGATGACAGCAGCAATTTCGAATTTTCGATTGACGTTAATTTCTAAATTAAAATGTATTTAGCCAGTGTTTCTTGCATCAGAGATACTGTCAAGTATTTCAATGCTAACAGCATCAAAATCCACACAGAAACGTAAAATTTTAATAGGTTTTACACTGAAATTTACGATCCTATTGNAACTGACACCAATTTCAAATTAAAAACGACTAAATTGAATCCATCGCGCTTTCTGGCATCTTCTCTCACAGCTGTTTCCCATTACAGTGCATTTTTTTTTAGCTTAAGTTGCTAATATGTAATTAATGTAGTTTTCCATAGTTCCGTTGGTACAAAACTTACAAAACAATGTTGAATTATTGATTGCTAATTTCTTGCATTAGGTAAATGTTTATGATTCAAATTGATCATAGAAGTTGTACCCATAGAATGTACCCGTATTCAGATGCCAGTGCTAGCAAGTAGCAGCGGCCATCAAATGAACTACTTTATTGTTATTATCTTCACTAATAATTTATTAATATCGTATTCTGCTTAGGCACAGTCTCTCAAAATGTTCCAGAAAAATTTTTATATTACCAATTATTTACATTTATTTGTTTGTGGTGCAGCGAAATATTGCTTTTTTTTGTCTCCACGTGTTCGTTTGTATGATGACGTCACCGTGGGACGACATACGTCACCTTTTGTGACGTATGTAAACATATGGCTAGCGTGATTAGATGGGAGTCCATTTCGGCATTGAAATGAATGGTTATTTGTGAATAATATTTTCGATTGTGATATTATAACATATTTCTGATTGTGAAATAATCTTGATTGTGATATTGACACTTGACAGATATTCAACATTTGAATATCGAAGTTCTAACATCATGAATTACGAGGTAAGAGTGTAAGGACTTCGCAAAGCTAGAATCATGGCTGAGCCTCTGAGGCAGTGAGGCTTAACCGATGTCATTGTAATTTTTTACGTCATTGATATCATTGTGGAACCAATGTAAGTAACTAAGGAATTTCCCAGTTCAAATATTTATTGATTTATTACTATCAATTTCGAAACTCCACATATTTCTAAAGGGAGTTGTGATGAGACCATGGGGATGGGCCCGGGGCCAGGGGTCGAACTGTTGAGTTTAGACCATTACAACTTGCAAGAGGGGCCCAAGGGCCAAGGGCATGGGGCCTTGCGATTTGCGAAGGGTTAAGACCAACGCACGGCGGTGGACCGATAAGTACTTACAATAATTCCCTGCCACCATGCTGCCTGTCAGTGCTGGACACTGACAGGCTCACTGGCACAGGAGTTTGGAAAAAGGAAACACAAATTTTGTACTATTACCTATTAGCCTAACCAGTTGACTCTGACAGCAAGTTAACAACCACCAGGCAGTCAGGCACCACCCACCAGTCCACCACTACCAGGGTCCAGGCATCCAGGGCCAGCAGGCCAATGGCCTGAATGGGCCAACTTCAGCCAAGCAACCTGTCAACCGGTTGATCTATTAAATAATTAAGTAACCTACATTATAGGCTACATGAGGAAGCCTCAGAATAATTTTGAGTACATTCTGTAATGGAAAATCAAAATACCTAACTAGCATAAACATAAAAAAATTAATTTTGCATGTAATAGGTAACAGCACAGTCAGCTCTATCACTCTATGGCCACTACCTTGGCTTAAGCCTTAACTGCTTAAGGATTAGTAATCCATCTACAAGTGTATGGTATGTCTACTGTCTAATGTCTATTGCCTGGAATCTGGATGTTATGAGATTGATAGCTAACAAATAAATTATATAACCGGTGAAAATTTGAGAGCAAAAGCCAAAACAATCCATCTAGGTTTTAGGTTTATACTTTATACTAATAATAAAGCATAAATTGAACCAATGGTTCAGCAAATTATTGGAATTTCATGTTTAAAATTGTTGATTGTGCAATTTAGATAAATTTACCTCGTGTTTTGTTCCCTGAGGAACAAATTTACTAACTACAGCACCTTATTGATTAACAGAAAACGCACATCGTTGATCGTCGCACCCAAATGCTGTAGCAGACGCTTACCGCTGCAGGAGTGCCAATTCGCTGAAATGCCGGTATACGAATTATGAAGCACCGACGTGAGCAATAAGCGATTGAAGTTGATCAAAAGTTAAAAGTCGTCTGCATTGAAGTCATCTGCTGACCTATCAGTTGCGTCTTGTAATGGTGTAATTTATTTTGATATTGTTCGATGAATGAGCTTCATTTAGAAGACCATTATTGTGATGAAGGAGGCATCGATTACGAGGACTGAACGAAAATTTCAAAAATTAGGTTGAGTTTAATTAAGATAGTTATGGGTAGCTTCGTTTTGATCAAAAACGAAATGATATAAAAATTGTAA